ATTGGACGGTGATGAAATAGATATTCGGGATGAATCGGAGTTAGAAACCGATGTTGAAGAAGACTTAGATGAAGAATGTGACAATGATTATAATGATAGTGATTAGAGATAATATGATATATCCCATTGGACTATGTTATATTGTATTTTTTATTCAATTCATAAATTATACACTTGGATTTTATGTAATTGTTATTCGAATTTAAGGGTTTAGGCAACCTTGTCCTCCCGGAATGTTGGGATAAGGCTGGTTTTGTCCCCCAAGTATAATTTTTCAAACTATTTTAATAAATCTCTAGGGTACCGTCCACGTTCTGTCACAATTTTAGGAAAAAATTAGGTTTATTTGTATGTTTACTTACATAGTTAACATATAATTTTTAAAGATAAGATTTAATTAAATAAATGTTTATGATTTATTGTTGTTTAGTATAAATCAATTAGTTCATATTAATTTGAATGTTATATGTAAGTATTTATGCATTATATAATTCATATATTATTTAACAATTATTGACTTTAATAATTAATATGTACGTAGGTCATAATGACTCGAGGTAGGGGTCGTGGTTCGGATGCGATCGGTCCGACGGTGATCGTGGACGTCGTAGACACCCTTCTTATTTCGCTCACGGTCGGATGGATCCCCCACCGGACATGCCTCCGTACCACTCTTCCGGTGGCCCCTCCACATCCCGCTCCATGCTCGTCGAGTCTCGGCCAGCGACCTTTTGAACCTCCACGTCAACCTCCCTCATATTTTCCGTCGTCATCATCGGTGCCTTCGTCATCACATCGGGACGACCGTTCCGTTCCTCAACACGTTCCACCCCATAATGTCCCGCGTTAATCGGCTTCGAGCCAATAACATCCGCGGTTGACCATCGAGTACGGGTCATTGTTGTTGGGCGCAATGAGTACGGTTTATGCTTCATTTAATTAAAAAAAATTTTGGTTACCGTTATTATCTACTCTGTTATTTATGAATTTAATTAATGTTTATTTTTTTGTAGGTTGTATCCTTCGATGTTTGCTCTCGCTTGATCGTTAAGACATTCCAAGAGTACATTCATTCTTCGGGATGGATGTGGAAAAAAATGAGTCCGGAGACAAAAGATTTTTACTATGAAGAATTTAAGGTTCTAATTTCTAAATTTTATTTAATTAATTATATTATTTAATATTTATTTAAATTGTATAAAATAATATGAAAGTAAAGTTAGTAGTGTATATTTTTTTTTTTGCCGGAAATCATTTAAGTGGGATGATAATTTGAACGAGAGCATAGTTAAGAAAGCATGGGAAAGTCTCGCACGGAAGCGATATTCGACTTCCTTTGTCGTCTAAGGAAAAAACCGAAGCCGGCATATATCTCACGGGAAATATGGGATGCATGGACTACGGAATGGACGAAACCCGAGGCCGTTGCTCGATGCGAGATGACGACACGGAACCGGTAGGAGTGAGATTGGTGGAGTCGGAGCCGGTCCTTCTAGACATACGGGGGGATCAATCGGCCATAGAGAGCACGCCATACACATGGTAAAAAAATATATTATTTAATTTATTTATAATTTTTTTAAAAAATAATACCCAAAATAATTAATTAAACATCCGACTATATTTAATACATTTACGTTTATTTATATATGTTTTCGGCGTAATGTGTTGGGTAGTGAACCCGATCCTCACGAGGTTTTCTTGAGGACTCATCGGAGAAAGGTTAATGATCAATTAGTCTTCGTCGATCAACGGTCGAGGGTTATCGGAGTAAGTGATAAATTTGAAACATTATTTAATATCCGTTAGTTAATAACGTTATTTGACAACCGGATTTGATGCGACGTGTTTCATAATTATACGAGAGACCGTACAAAGATTAATTAATGAGGAAGAGGTTGCTAGCCAGACGGTCGGGAGGGACCGAAGTGACCGCACCCGACATTAATGACATCTTTCAAAGGGTCGTTGGTGGAGGAGATACTAGGAGGAAAAGGATGTACGGACTCGGCTCACATGCATCTCACTATTATTCAAATGTCAATGCGGGCTCATCTTCCGCTACTTCCGGATTCAATGCGGTCGACGAGGCACGGTTGAAGAAAATTCAAGAGCAAACATCTACAAACACGACGCACATCCACAACTTAGAGGTACGCGTGAGCGACCTACGGGGCCGAGTGGCATCGTTGTTGGATACCACGATTGAGTTGAGAAACAATAGTCGAGAGCGAGTTTACAATGATGTCACGGATACGGCAGATGTTCATGCGGCATTTTGAGCGTGGTGGTAGTTCATCCGTCATTCTTGAGACCGACAACGACTCGACCCGACCTCCGAGACGACTCCACTCGGCCTCCGACCGATCCTAGACATTAACTTATTTTAGCTTTTATGTTTTCTTGTATTAATCGCAATCGATGTACTTGTTTTTTATTTAACAATAATGTAATTGTTTAGCGACGTTTTAATACATTTTGAATAATAAAAATTTACGTTTACGATATTTTATGAGATTTTTGCTACCTTAAAATTGTTACTTTGACCTCATTTTATTATTGTTTTAAATAAATTTATTTTTCAATTAGCAACGGTCTTAGAAACGGTCCGGACCGTTGCTAATCCGTCGCTATTTAGCAACGGTCATACCAAGGGTTTACGGAACCATCGCTAATGTCCTAACTGTTTACATCGACATTTAGCGACGGAATAGCAACGTTTTAGACCGTCGCTAATTTTGCAACGGTCTAAACCGTCGCTAAAAAACACCGATGAGGTTTTTAGCGACGGTTACTTGACCGTCGCAAAACCGTTGCTAAAACGTTTTAGCAACGGTTTTTTTTATTTAGCGACGGTTTTGCCCATCGCTAAATCCCATTTATCCGGTAGTGATATATGTGTTCGTGTGTGTGGGGACGTGCGTGCATGCTCGCACGTGTGTGTTATATTGAATAACAAAAACTATAAATGTTTTACATAATGAGTGTGTATAATATTTATATTTCAAATTGGGTTTGGATCGGGTTTTGTATCGGCTTTAGCAATATTCATACTAGATCCAGAATCTAATGGTTAAAAATTTTAAGATATCCATACCTTGCTCAAAATAGTAACTATCCCAAAAAAAAAATCATCCATCCAATTGTTTTAGGATAGGTATCCATCGACTTTATCACATAGTGACCTATCGGCGATCATAAAAATATGAGTTTAAAGTGTGGAGTTAGTACTTAGTTTTCATAAAAATGAAAATTAAGAAAAACCTACGAGATTGGTCCTAAGAATTCGAGTATATAAGGAAATTGATCGTACAACTAGGAAAGATCTTGTTCACCCTAGTGTGCCTTCGATCACCTTATTGTGCTCTCGTATTAAAATTATTATTCAATTCTAAACTATAAGAATGCAAAGTCCAATTATGTATCTACTTTTCATTCTAATTTATAAGTTGATTATTGGAGTTTTTCTACAAGTCTTAAATGATGTGATCTGAAAATTGAAAAATGAGTCAATCTTTCATCTAAAATATCATCGGGCCATTGGAGTCTATTTGAAAATTAAAAATCAAGGGTTAACCCATTTGCAAATTAAGCCATATGAGTCCCTATATAAAAATATAAATATAAAATAAAATCAATTTTAACCGTAGGCCCAAGTTCATTTGTCTTGCCATGCAATAAAAAATAGAACTCCATAGTAACATAAATCCACAAGTATGGGCATGAGCTTTGAGTCCATAGGAACTTGGCATGCCACTCTACGATAATAAATTGAGACCAAACCCAAGGTCTAATTTAGAATCAAATCTACACAATGAGGAGATTAGTGATACTAATAAAATTAAATTAAAATTAAACCAAATAAATAAAATATATAATAAAAAATGAGATTTGTCAACTATGATAGGTGATCTTCTAACTTTTATAGAGAGATTGATCAACTATGATCGTTAGAAAGAATAAAATAAATCATATCATGGAGATTCATTTAACAGTTTAACCTTTTGAGTTAAGATGATCTTTTAACATGGTATCGAGTCTTTCTAGCCTAGTGGTCAAGAGTTTAAATCATATCATCTATATTTTCTCTTCTAATTAGTTAAACACAAGGTGGTATAGGTCTATACAAATTTCAAACCCAAAGAAAGGTGTCTTAGAAAAAATAATATAAATCATATCATTAGATCTCACCTAACAATTTAAGTTTTTAGATTGAAATAGCTCTTTGATAATGACATGATGACTTCTTGAATATTTTTAAAAACTAATCATCTTGAAAGGGTAGCCACTTGTGATATTTTTTAACATGATGACTTCTTGAATATTTAAATATTGATCATCTTGACGTGGCGACTACCTATGATATTTTTTAAAGACTAATCATTCTAACAAAGAGACCACTAGTGACATTTTGAAAGACTGGTCATTTTGAATTAAAAAAAATATATATGTTTGATTTGTATTCTTTACAAAATTTAATCTCATCCCTAATGAAATAGTTTGAGCATTTATGCTCTTTGCACCTGTAAAAAAACATGAATAACCCTCCAAGAATTTGAAGTTTCTTCCCTTCTCCCAATTAAAGAGTGCATTCGCCTCCTCATTTCTTAAAAAGAATTTAGTTTAATACTAATACTAAATAGAGAAGTTATTTGTATTCATCCCTAAAAAGATTTCCCAATCTCTCAATTTTGGATTTGTTCTTGCATGTATGTGTCGGCTTATGCAGATGGAAATTCATTACAAAAGGCCCACATTATATTGTGTTTTTGAGTAAAATCACTAAACATAAAGCGCAGATAATCTAAGAATACTGCCAAATGGAAATAATCTATCTAGCACAAATAGCTCATTAATTAGAATTAATCTCCATGATCATCATGCATGGTTTTGCGTGAACTAACTGTAATACATTATCTTGCTTATATTTTTATATTTACATATTTATTTCAATGTGTGCACAATTACTTCTATTTTTTTTTTGGCCTAGTCGTCGGTACTCAGTATCCTGATTTTGTAAGACAGGCCACGTCAGGTATAGTTGCCTTGGATGTTCCATTAGCATGTTCGCAGAGGGCATGAGTCTGCTTTCCTGGAGCTGATGAGACAATGTTAATTTGGTCCATTACGATTTTGTCACAACCTAGGTTACAGCAATTAAGTTTGATTGCTTCTTCGCCCGCAGAAGTTCCTTGGAAACCACGGTAGGTTATCTCACTCACTGTTACTGCCGACGACTGCATCAGACATCAAAAAAATAATTAGTCAAAGTTGTAAATAACCTAGAAAATATATTTCCTCTTAATATTATGAGAAGAATTAGGTATAAATAATGGGGTTTAATTTAATTTTTTTACCGCGTTTCGGCAATTGGATGCACCATTGCAGTAATACTGGTCAATTATGATAGGATTGTGAGATGCTATAAGAGTGATTTGATCATAAGAAATCTTCCTGGCATACCCCGATCCACCCTGACGAAGGAGAAATTAAGGAATCAGCATTTTTAACAAATTGAAATTATATTAATTAATAATTAATTTGTTTAGTAAATGTAACTCTTAATTAATTTGCAACATGTTTACCTGCCATGTCTTGATTCTTGCTGCATTTTGAGTCCCATTGAAGCTACAGTTCCAAACATGCACCTCTTCAACTGTGTCCTTAACTCCGTTTTGTCCTAAACTTCCAACGCTGTCCATAATCATGACCAAAAAAAAAAAAAAACAACAACATCAAGATTTACCTCTCGCGCTTTGTAAATTAAATAATCATTTTAACCCAAAAATTTAAGACTTTAGGTGAATCAAAGTCTTAATAGTCGGTTTAGTAAGACTCCGATACTATATCAAATTATCATCTCAACCTAATAGTTTAAGTTTTTAAGTAAAATTTTACGATATGATTTATATTATTCTCTAATAAGTTTAAGCCACAATCCCAATAAAATTAGAGTCTCGTTTGAAATTATTTACTGTTAAATAATTATTTTAATCCAATAACTCAATTAATCAGTTCACACTCTAAAATGGTTTTTTTATCCCTCTTGAACAATTATTATAGTCACTTTAAATCATAATTCGAAAGTTTTATTTCGTAAGTAATTTGTGGCAAAAATGAGCTAAATTAGAACTCTGAAGTATGTTGTGTAGCCGACAATGATTAATGACTTCAACCAATTTTTTTAAAGAAATGATGTAGTATGTAAGTTAGAATTAATAAGTTAAAAGTTTATGTTTTTAATCTTTTATTATGATAAAATTTTCAATTTAATAATAATTTTTTTATTAAATCGAAAGTTGTATATAACCACACATATTTATGACTCCTTTTTTTAATCAAAAGTTTAAAACCCACATAAATCAATTTATAAGATGATATATCCCAAACAGAACCTTAATTAATTTGTTTTCTCCGAAAAAGCAATGAAAGGAAGCAAGTTTTTGATGACGAAGTACCTGATTCCATGCCCAGGTCCGCAGGCAATATTATTAATTTTGACGTCGTAGCAACCACCATTAACAGCAATACAGTCATCTCCTATCATACGTAAATGCATTGCAAGGTATCAAAAAAGAGTGATTCTGTATAAACAAACAAATCTTACAAATTAATTATGAAAAGGGCAGTTTTTTTTTCATGGAAACCAATATGAAATCCATACTTTACCACTTAGGTATTGACACATTAATTTATATATAAAAAAAGAAATTGGTCTAAAAATCATTTTTTATCAAAAAAAAAAAAAAAAAGGGTGGTACGAATAATAATGAGCAAATTAAGGTGAATAATTAATTAAATTTTGAAAATCAAAATTACCTGTCCCAATAGTGGAGTTTTGAATCCGAACATGGGTTGATCTAGAAATGTCCATCCCATCGGTGTTGGGGCTGTCCTCAGGGGCAGTGATATGAAGATTAGAGACAAGTACATCAGTGCAATCAAGGATTCCTATATGGATTCGTGGGCTGTTGGTATGAGTTAACCAACTCAGATGCAGATCATCACATCTGTGGAATTGTAGAGCCTGCAATTTTTTTTTTTTTGGAATTTTTATTTACTTGAGATATACATGCAGAGAATTAAAGTTTAGAGGTAAAATTTTCATCAATATATAGGTCTCATATTCAAATATTAAAACAGGTGGGATGGAGGTCTGAAATTTTCATCAAAAAATCTCATATTGAAACAGGAAAAAGAAAAAAAGAAAAACTAAAATAAGTTTTTTCGCATAAAATGAACACCTTTTCTGGCCTTTCGCATTTTCCGCCCTTCTTCTCCTGAAAAACAATAAATAAATAAATAAATAAAACGAAAATGTTTCATTTATTGATGAAATATATGTATATATGCATAATTAAAAGTCTAAAAAAAAGAGAGAGAGAGAATAGTATAGATATTTTACTATCTATATTACTCTTTGTTAAAAAAATAATATCTATATTATTCTGTTTGTTTTTTTTTTTTTTTTTTTTGGCTAGACCTTTAATTATATATATATATATAACTTACATTTTGCCACCAGACTGAGCCTTGACCATCTATTTCACCAGATCCATATAAGTTGAGACTTTTTATGTCATGGAAACCCAACCATTCACCAATTCCACAGCCACCCCATGCATCAATGGTGTTTGGTGCTACAATTTTCCCTGAAAGCTGCATATTACAAAACAAGAAGTATTATAATTTATAATATTTTTAGAGTGGATGACTACGCGCACACACATATATATATATACCTGAATGTGAACACTGTTGGATTTGCAAGGACCATTAAATTTCAAAGGCTTCAACAAAAATGTATGTTTAGCTGGTATGTCAAGTGTTGGTGTGCTTCCATTAGCTCCACATAAAGCTTCCCATGCTTTCACAAATGCCTTTCGATGCACAAAGCCAAAGTTAGTAGAAGCATGTTTATTAGTCTCTTCTTATTGATTATTAATTATTAATTGCTTTTTGTTTATTTTTTAACAAATTAATGTTGTAAATAGGAAACAAGACTTGAATTTTTTTAAGAGAAAAAAAAATGGAGTAAAATTTTAACTAATGTACTATGAAATGAATACACAAAATTATGAACTCACAAACAAATATAGGAATATTGAAGGGCTTACTTGGGAATCGTCAGTGGTGCCATCTCCAATGGCACCAAAATTGAGCACATTAAAAGTACTTTGGCCATCCCCAAAGATTATATTAGATGTAGCAACACAAATTATCAAAAAAATGGCTAGTAGCTCCTGCATTAGAAGAGACAACAAAGAAAAAAAACGGTTTCAGCTCATGATGGCACATACCCTCAAAATCTTCATTTTTTTTTTTTTAATTCAATGCAAGGAAAAAGTGTTTTCTTACCATGGAAAGGAAGTAATCAAATGTTGATAAATGGAATATTATTAGTACAACTCTTCAATGGATATATATATTAAAAGTGTATAATACTCTTCAACTTTTTTAAGAGAAAAACGGGAGTACAATATTTCATCCTCTATATATCTACATGTTTATATACATATATATATAGAGAGAGAGAGAGAGAGATCACGTTTTGGGGCCGGGATTATATCGATCATTAATCTTACTAACTTGCCACGTATTTCATGAAGTATGAGATTCTTTCAATAAACATACGTTTAGAGTATCCAATTACACTAAGATTTTTTTATATGTGGAATTTAACTTGATAAAGGTACGAATACCATATGTGTTATTTTAATGATAATAATAAATTCTATAACTACAAAGGAATGTAAATATTGATTTGAAATATTAAATATTTTCTCACTCTTAAAAGAAAATATTTTGTTTTCCATTTTTTGTTTGTCCCAAAATAATTGTAAAGGCAAATATTACGGTCATATATTTTACTACAATATCCTAATTAAAATTCATTTGCGAGGACCTACAATTACAACGATCTAATTAAAACTCATTTGCAAAGGATCTATGGTTAAAAGGAGAGTATTTAATATATATATATAATGATGATGTAATATATTAATTAATTGACATTTTTAATATATTTAAAAAATCAAACATGGCAATTTTTTTAGGATAGAAGAAATAACTATGTCTTAAAGACACCCCTTAGTCTTTTACCCCTTTTGTTTTTTTATTGACATAATATATATATTTTGAAAATCTGCAAACAAAATCTTGATTGGATTTTAGTTTCCTTCACATGATACCCACCAAGAAATAACTTGCCACTAAAGTCTTTTTAGGATCTATACGATGATTGTTAGAATAGGTGCTCAAGATCCTATCTTTTTTGGATAGTTTAACTTATTGTAATATTGCATTCTTTATTTAATCAATAAAAGAAGTATTTCTATTAATTCTTGTTGTTAATATTTTGATAGAATTAGATAGAAATCCATATGATATGCATTGCATTAATGATTGATCGAAAGATGTGAGACAAATATTAATGTACGTAATGATATCATTAAATGTCTCAAGTCATAGCATTGTCAAGAATAGACATTCACTATATGTAATAAGACTTATAAGTGCTATACGTATGCTATAAGATAGCGAGTAAAACATTTCACACCTATTGGCATAACGATGTCAAAGCAAACACTTAGGAGATTAACGTTAGAGAATATATCACCGACGTGACTCGTTATGAAAACTCATTTAGTTAAGTCTATGAGAATCTCATACAAGATGAGTACAACTAGTCCTTTGACTTAAAATCATTTCGGTTATCTCATTAAAGGATCTATGTACGTTGACACTTGTTTCGATAGACTCAATAAAGAGTTACATGTGGGCTATTCGTTAGGTGTACTAGGAATCTAATTGAGATAGGTAGATGACTAAGATAGGACATGTCATTCCTTATAAGCTAAAAGAGTTATCACATTACACTTCGATAAATATCTCGCTTAAACAATTTGTGGCCACAATGGGAGTATACCAATAGAACATAGTTGGTTTACTCTAGAGCTAAGAAATTTGAAAATCGTAAAAAACATGTGTAATCATAATTGAACGGACTATAAACCAAATTCGAGATCACACTATAATAAATGGACATGAGGATTGAATTGTATTGTAACTATACACGTGAAAGGTAATTACGAATTAATTAATCCTCTTATAGAATTGGGTAGTTATGATGCCTTACTAGAGGCCAATCTTGATTTATGTATTAAGAGATAAAAGATGTATCTTTTATTCTTAATACATTATCAATATATCTAAAAAATCTACTCGATCACACGCATAAGTTTAAACATTCACATAATAAAACGAAGCGAGAGATTTTGGAAAAAGTTTTCGATTTTGAAAGTTTCCTATTTTGGAAAAGGTTTCTAAAAGTGAAAAGTTTCCTAAAATGAAAATTTTTTTATTTTAGAAATCAATTTTTTTAATTTAGAAGTCGGTTCCAAATTTGAAAAAATGGATACCTAAAAAGAAAATTAGTTTCCTAATTTATGTTTAAGGATAATTTGAAAAATAGTTTTCTAATGTGGGCCTCCTAAAAATATTTCATCCAATTTATTTGAATTGTCCAAATTAATTGAAAATTAATTAAGCCAATAAGCTTAATTTAAAAGCCTACAAGATATTTTGATAGAAGGATAAACTTGAGCCCTATTGGATAAGACTCAAGGTTTAAAAGGATAAGATCAAACAGGCCACACATGTTACAACTCTTTGTCCTTAGAGGACAAGGATGCCACCCCCTCATATAAATAAAGGGAGAGAGGCGGAAAAGGAGGGCGGAAGAAATAAGAGAGGCACCCACACGGTAAAAGAAAAAAAAAAGAGAAAACATTTCTCTCCCAAAAGCTTAAATTGTCGTATCCATTCTTAAAAGCCTCGGTTGTTGCAAAAACCTAACCGATTTCTTTAGAAAGCAAATCAAATATACAAAAAGATTAGAGCTAGCACTTTGTGATTTTTTTGGCTTCCTTTATGGGTGTTTAAGTCGTGTGGATTATCAATAAAGGTCAAACACTTGGACGACTCATTTCTACAAAAGCTAAATCTATGCTACAAGAGATAATCTTTTACTCGGGCTTTTAACTCATGTATGTAAGATTAATTGATTCAACAACTTGATCATGGAAGCCTTAGATGGAGGAAATTTTTATTTTATTCTCGCGTCTCTATAAGATGTATGTCCCTTCAATTATTGCTTGACTACTATCAAAAAATAATAAAAGGATCTATAAGATGACTATGAATTTCGATGATATGTGTTTTGGAAACTAGTTTTGGTAAAAAAAAAAACTATTGGCCTAAATATTAGCTATATGTTTCTTTTTCTTTTTTTTTAATGGAAAAAATTACCCTTGAGCTATTGGAATTATGGCAATTTAAGGCTTTTACTACTAATTAGGTTGTTTGGATCCAAATAATAGTTGATCGGTGCTTAAGAAATAATAGTTTGAAGTCCAAATAATTCAAATTGAAAGTAAAAACCTTAAATTGTCATAATCTCAATAGTTTGTGGGGGTTTTTTTTTTTCATTGAACATTCAAGTTATTGGTCAATGCTTTGATCGTCAAAGATAATAAAAAAAGAATAACATTTGTTCAAAAAATAATAGTTTGGGGTCTAAAAAACTCAAATCGATAGTAACGACTTTAAATCATTATAACCCAAAAGTTTGAGAGTAATTTTTGCTATTAAATCGAAGAAAGATAGAGGGATAGAAATCGAAACAAAATAGAAATCATGCTAGGATAATTAAAAAATTTGGAAGGCTCCAGCAAAAATTGATAGAACTCCTAAATTTCAGGAGGTGTTATGTTGTTTGCCCCATTTTTTGAGAAAAAAGTTGTAACTTGTATGATTTTATATCGTGGCCTCCAACAATCTACTAAAATGTTTGCGAATTTAATATAAGAAATGTTGCAATTTAGTGGCAAGCTATAATGATCAATGGTGTTTATATCTTTAGTTGGATGCATCTTTATACCTTTAATTTTTAAGTGTGATTATACGAAAATTATATAAAATATTTTAATTTTATTGTTTTAAGAGTTTTCATGTAAACATATATAAGTTTTGTATTTTATACCTATTGATTATTAAATATTTAACCGAGCCACGGAAAAAAAAAAGTAAAACAATTAAATATATAATTGAACAGACTTGCAAACATGGCAAAAGAAATAGTTCTAAGAAAAAAAATCAATATACAAAACTGCAAATACCATATCATTAATTAATAAATGTCTGACTTTTTTTTATAGAAAAACAATAGCTTTTTATTATTATTCTCTTCAAATCATGTTAATAAGAGGGCGAATCAAACGTTTTATTTATGAATTAAATCCGCATATCCGGTTGACCTCCCAATGATGGCATCACTCAATTGGAGAACTGAAAATCTTTGCCAATATAGTTGATTTTATGATAATAAAAAGCATTCACTGTCAACATGTTGATCACAAATGAATAAACTATAAATTAACCTCTTTATTTTTGCAAAACGAAATAAATAATTCTTTTAATTTTAAAAATTAATCAATTAACTCTTTTAGTTGATTTTATGTTTTTTTTTTTGTCAATTTATTTTGTTTGTTTTTTAAGAAATAAATAAATAATATATTCATGAGAAAAGAAAATATTTTTTTAAACAAATTAATACTTTTTTCTTAAAAAATTGTCATCTACTTTTCACACATATTAAAAATATTGTTAATTGTTTTGTTCATGTTGTAAAAAAATATTTTTTTATATAATTGTGAGTTATCAAATTTAATCTTGCAAGAAATAAAATAAATGTAAATAAATATTAATTATTTTTTAAAAATAAAGAAATTATTTAATTTGTTTAAAGAGACTAATTTAAAATTTACCGATCATAAAAGATATCAACTGGTGTTGCTAATATCGTTTGTTCCAAATGTGAACTTTTCTACGATTTTTTCTACGACGGTACGCAGGATTGAAGACTCCTCCATGTCTTTTTTACTGCTGCATGAAAACAAAAAAAAAAAATAGTTTCCAAATGTTAATTGCTTTCTTCTTTTTTCTTTTTTCCATGTTGAATGGCATGGGCTATTTTTTTATGCTATATGGATGGTCCTGTACATCTCATGATGGAATTATCTGAGAACTAAATTAACATCCTGGTTTCCGTGGACTACATACATTTTGTCCTTACATTATAGCAGTAAATGTTGATACCTAGTCTTTTTCCTTTTTTTTTTTTTTGGTAATATTAGTTATACCTAGTTTAAAATAGGGTTTATTAGTTTCTTTAACCTAAATTATATTTTAACTCAATCTCTCTTTCTTTTAAGAGTAAACCTTTTTATGAAAATGTTGCATCCGAAGTGTGGCATTATTGACATTGTCAATAATCGTGGGACTTGCAAGAATTTAAGATCCAGATTAGCGAATTACTGATAGCATTCACAGAACCTTAGTAAAGAAGGTAAGAAGGGAAGAAAAAAACTGTTGGGTTAGCCATGGTATATCGTTAAGTGAAATTTTATGTTACTTAATAAAATAACTAACAGTATTTATTTCCTATTTGAGAGAGAGAGAAAGAGGGCAAAGAGAGAGTGAAGAAACAAAAATTTTGAGTATAAGTAAAAATATATTTTTTTTTCACTTTTAGTGAATCCAATTGCAATCACTTTTTTCTCGAGTAAACAAAAATTGCCACGATTGCTATTCAATTTTTAATGATTAAACTTTTCTCTAGTAAAAATATTTTGCTTTCGACCTTGCAATTGCAAGTGACTTTTGTCCTCTTCTACTAGCCCTTTAATCCATTGATAGATGCTCTGTGAGCCGTCCACGTTCTAGCTTACTCCGTAAGAAGGTACTCACCCTCAAGATCCTTCTACCTAAAAGTCAAGGACCCTTTGCAGCAAGCGAGTTAGAAAGCTCACTACTACTTGCAAGATGGAATCTGAACCATACAAAAGTTCAAAACCATATCTTTGTTTTGTTGAAGACTTCAAATCACCATGGTACACCATACCTGAACGAGTTTGAAAATCTAGAAATAAGATCTAGGAGTAATATCCTAGCGTCATACACACTTTTCCTTTTTAACATGGTGCAATCAAACGAAAATTCATATTACGAAACATCCACCAGGAACCTAAAAAGTGAACTCTCAAAAAACTAAATGACCCATTACCTCTAATGCCGCATTAAGATGTTCTTGGGACCAAGTTTTCCTAACACCTTGTATCCATCCATCTATCTATATCTCCGAAGCTGAAATTATCAATGCCTAGCCCGCCAATCTCACCTTTACCTATATTAATTGCGCAAGCATTGCTCACTCCACAACTGACACCGGAAAAAAAGTAAACCATTCACAACAGTCAACAGCACACAATTGCTAATTTTAACTTCAAAAAAATATATATGAATCTAAGTCATCCCAAGAAAACTAGAAAAATAAATAAATCTAGAAAGAACCCTTGCAAAAACCGTACCAAGAACCACCCAAAGCCATCCAGGTTCAACTAATACACAAACAGCAAAACCACTAAGAAAATACGAAGGTTTAAAAGGCTAAAAATATTTCAATCTTGCTATCTAAAACATTTAATTAATACATGATAGCATGGCCATTGCCTGCAATCTAAACTAGTTATACTGCAAATTGATACTGTTGTAACGGAGATTTAGCAAACTCCACTTAAGTCTCCGATAAGCAGTGCCCAAGAGTTCCCAAAAGCTACAACAAATCAAAAGCAGCATACACCATTGGGTAGATTCACCAATACAAGCATTAAGCAGTAGTTTGCAGAACAAATAAGATAGAAAGGGACTCTAGCACCATCAAAATCTCCTCCATGCTGATCGAATCTCCATTAAGATGGCACTGCAAAAAGAAAATGATTGAAAACAATCAGTAAATAGCATCATATTATTCCAACTATACCATAAAGAATTTTTATGATTAATGCAATACAGAATGGTTCAGAAGATGAGCACACTACCGATCTCTATTTATTGGCAGAAATTTGGGAATATGAATGGGGTCAAAAAACAAACCAATCAGCAAATCGAAAAAAAAATACACTATAAGTTGACATGGGCCAAAACAAAAAAAACACTATAAGTTGACACTGGCCAAAAAAATTTAGGAGCATGAAGCAAGATTTTAGGGAGAAATACCTAACTAGTGGAATGGGTCTTGACCCAAAGATTAGGATGCAGGGGTTGCCCTTACAATCCAAATTAACCAGCAAGCACCAAAATATAATTCATTATTGATTTCCATTATCATCCCAAAGTCTAAAAAAGAAACAGAAGACGCAAACAAGGACAGAAGACCTGGAAGCAGGGTCATTTCTTGTTTGCTTTTGGCTAAACATTCAAAGAGAACAAACAATGAAGATACAAAACTCTCAAGGCTCTTTCATTTGTGAAAATTCAGAATAGCAGGAACATCTCATGAACAATGTGACAAACTGACTATTTTAATAGCTCATCATGCATTGAGAAACTTACTATATGTAGATGTATCTATCTGCTCAGGAAGCTCCTTTATATCCACCTCAAACCTCTCTTGAACCTGCAATCAACCAACAAGATTTAGAATGAGCAAGAAATTTTAGAAAACAACTTCGATGAAATAAGATAAATTGTCAGACCTGATTAAGAACATCAGAGTCTGAAGCTGATGATACAAAGGTAATTGCAAGGCCTTTTGTGCCAAACCTACCAGCTCTACCAACCTGTCATGGATTTGACAAGAAAGCAACAGTGAGACATTTCAACAAAGACAATAAACTGGAAAAGAAAGCTAGCAAGTAGATGTTTTGAACAAGATCAATTGAATTTACCCTGTGCAAGTAAGTGTCAGCAGAGTCTGGCATGTCATAATTAATAACGATGTTGACACGTTCAATATCAATACCCCTGCCAACCAAATCAGTGGCAACAAGAATCCTTTTATGACCCTCCTTGAATCCCTTGTAGCGCATCAACCTGCAAATAGCATACATTCAGCATATAGCTTATTACTGCAAAAAGTAAATTATAACTACACATGCTAAAAATATTCAAGTGCCAAAACAAAAGTGCATTACATTATTGAAAGAAGAATGTACTCAAATTAAATCATTTCTCATACAAAAACTGCAAGAATCATTTTCAATGTCGTCATAAAAAATCGACATGACCTTTAAAAAGAATCCCCAGTGTCACGAAAATGGAAGGGTAAAAGCCTAGAGTGAAGCCAAGTAAATTTCAATTCCATGCCAACCACAAATTCTATACAAAATCAAATCATTAACAAAGGATGCAAAATACCAACCAAACCAATACAAAGTAATAATCTATCTGTGTGTGTTCCCGATGCTCAAATGGTGTTTCCAAAACTATAGCCAGAACAACATAGTATATGAAGCACTCCAAGTTTGATTTTTAAAAACCTTGGATTTTTTAAAAAGCAACTACAAACGCAACATTTTTGTAGTGTTCTGGAAAATCCAAAACCATGGTAATGAAATGTGATTGAACAACTCAAACATGGTAATGAAATGAAATCAATTAAAGCAATTATCCTTGTACAGAATCAGTACATCAGCAGACATAGTTGGCCAAAGGCAAAACAAGGTAGATTACAAGAATGCAGAAAAAAATGACCATGAATTACTGCAACAGTGTTACTAATGATATCACATATATAATCTACAAACCTTTCTTCCTGGGACATGCCAGAATGTATGCAGATTGAAGGGAAATTACACTCCACAAGTAACTTGTTCAGCTCGGCTGCTCTGCTCACACTTTTAACAAAGATAACAACTTGATTGAAGTCCAACGCATCAAGAAGATCGTTCAACTTGCGATTTTTCTCCAGCTCAGTCAGTTTGATATAGTGCTGCCATTTCAGTTTTGAAAGTCAGATAGATGCCCTATAAAGTGGTACAATATTTTTTTGTCACGAGAACTACAACATTGGCATTCTGTCACTGATCCCAAACCCATTGGATTCCTCCATGTGGAGCATTTGTTTTAAAGCAGCAAGGCAAAGACAATTCTCACTATCCACCCAGTCTAGGTCTGTTTTCTTTCGTTAATTCTTGGAACCTTCTGTTATCTCGTTACTCTATGTTCTCACTTCAAATAGCAAGCACTCTTCTTCCCATCTTTTTCACTCATTATACATCTCTCCCTAGCATCTGCTCTGTCTCGCCCCTCTTCCATACTCACTATCTCATCTCTCAAACCATCTTCTCTCTCCTCCCTAGCTTCTCTCTCTTAACCCCAGCTCTAGCATTATCATCTGGAGTTGCCTTGCTCATTTAACAATAATGTAAAACACCATGCAATATCTGAAAGCATACCTGTACAAGACCATGGAGAGTCAACTTGGCTTCATCATCGACGTAAATTTCCATTGGCTGAAAGGAACAAATGTCACAGTTAATCATATTAGGAGCCTTCGTGAAGCTAATGCTATCCAGAAGGAAATGAATGATGGATTCGCATCCCTTCAATTGAGATTCCAGTCCATCTGAATTGTCTCCTTGCAGATAACTTTTTTTAGTCAAAACAAGCAAGTGCCACTGTAGCTCAACGACTCAATTTTACAACTCACAGTGCCCCAGGCATGTGAGAACCCCCCCCACAATCCAATGCATTCCCACTCCCCAACCCCTCCCCCTTTAAAAAAAAAAAGGGACCCACAACAAAGGTAAAAAAAGACTCAAAATAAAAAGATAAAAATGCACAAAATACAACTACACCCCACTTTGACACCTGCCCCAAACTTGAGGCTTGGGCTCCCCAGCCATCAAAATACAATTTATCTATAACGAACACTTGTTGCTCTTCCTCATGGACAACTGGATCCTATATATATACAAGACTTGCAGAGACATCTGGCATTATGAAAAAGAAAAACTTCTAAATTCAAGTAGAACTGGCCATAGGACATTACATCTTGCATGAATTTCTTGCAAACCGGACGGATTTCTTTGCTGAGTGTTGCAGAAAACATCATAACTTGCTTATCATGAGGAGTCATCTTGAAGATCTCCTGAACGTCTCTCCTCATGTCTGCAAAAAAACATGAGTTATCATGAGAAACAAAGAGTCTGCATGCTTAAGACATTAATATCTGGTTAAACATTGAAAAAACAAGAATCATAGGCCATGGTTTTAGGATAAAAACTCACCAAGTGATTCAAGCATTTTGTCACATTCATCAAGGATAAAATGCCTCACGTTCTTCAAAGAAAGCTCCTTATCTCTAGCAAGTGCCAGGATCCTTCCAGGTGTTCCAACAACAATATGAGGGCATTCATTTTTCAGTAGATCTTTGTGAGTTTTGATATTGACACCACCATAGAAAACAGCAACCTTGGTATCAGGCAGGTAAGTACTGAACCTCTCAAACTCGTGGCAGATCTATCAAGTAAGGAATTGCAATAAAATGAGGTAATGCACCCTCCAACATGAAGCAAAAGTAAAGCAAGTAATGCAATGGTTAAGTGAACTTTGGAACTTAAAGATACCTGGTAAGCTAACTCTCTAGTGTGACATAGAACAAGGGCAATAACTTGTCCCGAGGTAGGCTCAATTTGCTGAAGTGTAGACAGAACAAAAACAGCAGTCTTTCCCATTCCAGATTTAGCTTGGCAGATGACATCCATCCCCAAGATGGCTTGAGGGATACATTCATGTTGCACTGATGAATTACCAAAGAAAATTGTACGGAAGGAACCCTTGGTAAGTAAAACATAACCTCTCGGATCCTTTAATTGAAAGGTTTACCATAGCAGAATACAGCTCCAAAATCAAGAGTGTGATAATTGTATATTACCTGAAACGTTAAGCACCACAAAGGTTTAGGAGGGAAAAATAAAAACATCAACTAAATTGGGCTAAGCTACAATCCAGGAAAAAATGCCTAAACATGAAGATCAAAGCAAGAAAATTAGATCTTGAAGCTAAGCACGCTACTTTAATTTGTAAAATATAGATTTTGTACACATACACGGTTAAATTTAATAGACTAAAAGGAAAAAACAAAAACATACGAAGAGATAGGCAACTTAAAAACTTTGCTTAAAACTAGTAATGTTTGTACATTCAACACAATATCTGTCTAATTGTGCAAGCTTGATACTTTGAATCTATGCATATCACTGGAATATTTATTTCTAACTTTTCGTAAAGAATCATTTTTTATCAAAACAGACAAATGAAACACACTAGAAAAACATTATTTAAAATTAGTAAAACGTGTTCATTAGACACAGTATTGCCAAAAAGTGAGAAAAAAGTAGAAGTACAAAGCAACAGATTACCTTCAGAAGGATGCTCAAAACCCGAGTCGACAATAGCCCGAAGAAGCTCTGGCTTCAAAAGGAAATCTCTGAATCCCGAACTGTGAATTCCAACATATCCCCTATATACCAGAAAATAAAACAACCACGTAAATAAAAACGCATAAACTAATCAGGTAAAAGACAGAGACTATAACTACAGATCTACTCATCTCCACCAAAAAAAAAATTATAAAAATTCAACCTTTCAACACAAAAAACACTTACTTCTTAACGGCTTCGCCGTTAACTTTAGCGCCGACGGCGTCGGGTGCTTTCTCTTCTTCTTCTTCGTAGTCGAGAAGCTCCTCCTCGTAAGTGTCGTTGTCTCTTGTTTCACCCATGATTTCTAATAACCAACAAACACAGATCTCAAAATTAGTGTTGAGAAATTAGGGTTTTTGAATAAAAACAAAGATAGATCTAATTAATCAGGGTTTTGCAGTTGAAGTAGAAAATTGAAGATAAAGGGAAAGAGGGAGTACTTGTGAAAGTAAAATAAATTCGTGGATTTTGTGGTTTAGGGTTAGGGTTTGCTGCAAAGGAAAATGGTTAGCTAGAAATTTAAAGAAAATATTTTTTTCGACAGAGAGAAAAGGAAGACCGAATCGGAGACCTCCACAGGAGAGAAAGATAGGGTTGTGTGATTCTGAGCGTTTTTATAGGAGAGAGAGAGATATTTTTTATGTGACCATAATGGCCCACTGATTTATTGTTAATTTCGATTGAGCTTTTTTTCCGAAATTATCCTCTCTTTCTAATCTGTTACAATTGCTTCTTTTTAAAATATAATTATTCATGTTTCGTATTTTCCACTTTCACGTGGGTTTAATAACAAATTTTATCATCATTCTGTTACAATTTAACAAATTCAACTCTTTAACATCAAATTACATAATTTCAACATTAAATCATAGGTTTTTAGATAAAATTAATTCAATTTCTCTAATTTTCGTTATACGTAAGTTCACCATTATATGAAATATCAAAACAACACTTGTTTTGATAATCTTTTATTAATGATATTTTAAAAAAATATATATTTTTAACCCTCTAATTTTGAAATTTTTTAAAACGGGTTTTTAATATAAAATATTTATATAAATTATATAAAAATATATTTTATAAATATTTTTAACCCCTAATTTTAAACTTTTAGATCCTTAGTACTAAACATGGATTTTATAAAAAAAAGTTTGAAATTTTGTATTGTTAATTATGTTTTTTATAAAATATTTATAATATCCAATGAGTATTAAAATGTTTATAATATAAATTATAATATTTATAAATTAAATCCACCCTAATTTTATAAATTATAAATTTTTTTGTAAAATATTTATAATATTTTATAAATTACAAATTATACAAAAAAAAATTTATAAAATCCATGTTTAAAATATTTTATAAAAAAATTAAAAAAAAATCAAAATTGGGAGGGTTAAAATATTTATAAATTTTTTTATATAATTTATAACATGTTTATAATATTTTATCGAAAAAAAGTTTAAAAAAAAGTTCAAGATTAGGGAGGCTAAAAATATTTTTAAAAAAATATATAATTAACAACGGAATGTTAAAAAAACATTACTTTAGCATTCCAAATAACGATCAACCTAGTTGACCGTTATATATAACGACAATTTGAGAAATTAGATCAATTTTGCCCAAAACCGAGTAATTTGGTACTAAGGATCTAAATTACTAAATCATAATAAAATAGGGACAAAATTTATCATTAAAATTTTTTATGCCAAAGTGGAGAATACAAACATTTTTTGTTTTTTACAAGAAAGGTCATAGCTTATTTAGGTAGGTGATTTTTGGCTCTAAATGAGTCCCCGATGGATTAATTGCATGAAAAATCCATTTATTTTTACATTCTTATAATGGGATCATTTTACTTTTTTATTTATCACGTCTCTCTACTCTCTTTTTTTCAAATCATTTAACTTTCTAGATTGGCTTGAAATTTATTGAGTTTTACAAATATAGATATAAATTATGTTTTCTTGATTTGATTGTATGAGAATTTGATAAAATCATTATGAAAGTAAAGGTTAAGTTATATGACAAAATAGGTCCAAGATAACACAAATTTTTTCAACAAAGTAAGAGAAACAAATGGAAATTGAAGATGGCAGGTTTAAAGTTAATTCTTATAGTTTTAATTATGTAATTTAATCTATATAATTAAAATAGAAAACAATTAATCCGACATATCATGACACGTGATAATACCTTTTTCACCTAACAAGTAAATTTAATATGCTATGACACATGATATTTTATTTATTTATTTATTTATTTTGCCACATGTCACTTTTGATTAGAAAATTAGTCGAAAACAATAAAAGGATCTGATTTAAAACAATTTCAAGAATAAAGGGACCACATTAAGAAAATGTGAAGAATAAATGAATGTTTCTTGTGATTAATCCAATCACAAGTTTGGATACATGAGTTAAATTTTATGAACCGAGACTAGATTCAATCATAACCGAGAGATTTATGTATTAGGCAACATTATCTACCAATTATGAATTCATTTCAAAACAAAATTTTAAAAGCTTCAGTGCATATGTTTAGTCATTATTTTGTATTAGTTTCCTTCTTTATTTTATTTGTTTTGATATTCTTGTTCTATTTTTAAATTTGTCTTGATTGGATCTTTATTTAATCCGAAACTATAATTGTATCAACCCTTAAGACGTTGACTTGTGTCTAAATCGATTTTTTTCTTGTTTCTTTTCTTTTTCTTCTTCTTCCTCATCTATCCTCCTCCACCATCAAAATTGTCATTTTTCTTCCTCAACAATAAAATAACCTCTTTTCTACTAATTTTTAACACTTTAAATGTTTTTTTTCATGATTAATGGAATTTTAGTTGTTATGCTCATCTGCTTGCTAAGTCAAAGAATTATAGGAAGAAGAAGTATCCATAGCAACAAGGCCTTGTCTAGATTAAATTTAACTATTATTTTTTATTTGAGTTTCATTTTTTTCACTTTCTTGTCGTAATAAACTATGAAATGTATTTTTTCCCATGCAGTCGAGAGAGAAGAAAATGCTATGGAAGAAATTATATCCTTCAATAGTTATTTATCTTTTTTCTTTGAGATTTTTAGTGTGAGAATTGACTTTTTTTCCATTTATATTATCTGTGTGTTTTATTTTTTACAAGACTATATCTTAGTAGTATTGAATAACCAAAATTTGGCTTCAAGCTAAGGCACCTTTGTTAAATTAATAAGTATTTTTTGCTTCGTTCTATGTGAATCTTTGAATTTATTTAGTACCTCACAGGTTATATTTTTTGTAGTTAATTTATTTTGGTATTGCTTTTCATTTTTTGCATATGTAATGTAGTTTTGAATTTTATAATTATAATAACTTCTAATTAACAATCGATATTCTTAATTTTTCTTAATTACTAGAAGTTTATAGCTAGGCTATACAAATAAGAACACACACTATGTTTTAATTAGTTTATTGTCCGTACAAATAAAGACTCATATTTGCACCTTAGTTACTATAGCTCACACACATAAAGGCACATTTTGATATTTTAACTGATTTATAATCATACAGAAAAAGATAAGTATATATATCTACATTTTAATTAGTTTATAGTCCAAACGCATAAATACATATATATATGCATCACATTTAGTTTAACCTATACATATAAACACATATATTTGCATCTTCATTGGTTTATAGTCCAAATTTAGCTCAAATATTGTTTCCTTTAAAGGCATCGAAATTGGTTTCGTGACTGTTGAGACAGTGGCCTCGGTAAGGAAGAGACGTACGTTTTCATTTGCAAAAACTCACTTTGCATGAAAAATATCACTGATTAATAATTTTGATATATAAAAAATATAACAAGATGAACTTACATTTTCAGTTTATTGTGAAACTTAACCCACATTATTTTGCTTTTATGTGTGGTCAAATTTGTTCGATTTAGCATTTAGAAAACAAATTCGTCAATTTAGTACATGTATTACCTTTTTTTGTTTTTTCAAAATCGATCAATTGATAAATGCTTGCTTAAATTTTCAGTTGATAAATATTTGATTGGAATATTTAAGAGATGATCTCAAGTTAATCCTTTAACTATTAAGGACTATCAAGTTCTCAACATAGTTTTTTTGGATAAAATTCAAATCTTTAATGAATCTTCTATCTTAAAAAAAAAAAAGAGTAAATATTCAAAAAAAATTAATAATTTGTACAACTAATATCACATACATTTATCAAAGTATCACCGATTAAATTCATTAACAATGGAATTAGAATAAAAAAATTCAGCAATCTCTTTCACAATATACACAACTAAATTGTCTATAAGAAATTGATCTTCTATCTTATTATAGAGCCTTGTTTTAATCAATTTCATTGCAAAAAATGCTCGATCTATAGTAGTTGTAGAGATAAGAAGAGTCAACACAAGACAAAACAATCTATCAAGCAAACAAATGTCTCGATTTCTCTATATCCACCAATGCTTGACAAAGTTCAACTATTACATAAACATTCTTTAATTTTGGACGATGAGGTGCGTCAAGAATAAAATGTCGTGATTAAAATCTCAAAGCAATTTTTTCATACTTTGTAAAATCTATAGGATAGTATTTTCTCACAAAACTCCAAACATCATCAATATTTTTATAAACATTCTTAGGAATCAAGTGCTTTAAAAGCTCCATTGCTTCCTCAAAATAGTTCAAGACATAAAAACAAAGAGTAAATATTTTTTCACAAGACTCGAAAACATCATCAACTCTTGTAATTGCTTGTCTATTGTAAGGCAAAAAATATCCACTCAATGATAATGCTTAATCGTGATTTGGTCTTGGTTGTTCCTTGCTTGGCCTCGACATGCTATATAAGAAACACCAAAGTTTGGAATCTCAATCTAATGATTTCAACAAAATAATTTGACATTTTCAAGCAAAATATCCTAGCCATTCTCTCTTAATTGCTTGAACCAATTGTTTTATAGTTGCCACTAATTGTACAACACTAAGAATGTCTTGAGATTTTTTTAGACCATGACAAAGAATATTTGTGATTTCCATAATCTTTTTCACGAGGTATGAGATAAATACAAATTGAAAAGAAGTCATATAATTATAAGCAATATCGGCATCTCCACGTTGAGAATAAGTGGATCCTTCTTCACTAACATTAAGAACGAGAGGAGGTTGCATTGAACATTTTAACAAAATTGCACACAAACTCATTTGCCAATCTCCGATTCATCAATATCCAACAAATGTACAAGTTCAATAATTTAGCATCCTTTAGTTGTTCATAGCATTTACAAGAACCACATATGATATTGATTATGAAAGACATATTTGAAAAAATTGATGAACTGGGATTACTTCTCTAGAGGCGACTACTAATATAAGTTGTAACCTATAAGAAATGCATTAAATTATTAGAATTTTACAAAATAAATTAGAAAAAAATAATAACGTACACTCGTGAGCAAAACAATGATTGTAATATGCATTTGGACACTCTTTAAGAAATAATGCTTGCAATCCATTCCATCCTCCATGCATGTTGCTAGCTCTATCATATCTTTGACCACATATATTCCGAATGTTAAGCCCATATTAAGAAAAAACATTGCACCGCTCTTGTTTAAGTGTTAATGTTATAGTATCTCGAACATGAACTAGTTTAAAAAACCATTCTCAAATAAATCCACCATTATCAACAAACCTCAAAAGTAAACCCATTTACTCTCGCTTAAACTTATCATGTGCTTCATCCATTAAAATGCAAATTTTAGAATCCCCAATCTCTTCACATGTATGATTTCAAACCATACTTGCAATGATACAAAGAATCTCCTTTTGGATTTGAGGTGAAGTATACCGAGCATTAAATGGAGCCTTTTCTAAAATAACTTTTCCAACTTCATCATTATATATTGACAATAACTTTATCATTTTAAGAATTTTTTTTTTTTTAGAACTTGATGACTCATCATGTCCTCTCAATACACAAGTTTGGAAAGTTAACCATCGACCGGTATCAATGGTAGTTTTAAGGCGCAATCTATTTTTCAATTTACGTTCGAGGTCCGAACATGTATAACATTTCGAATATACCCGGATTGATTTTTAAGAGCTTCACAACACCTCTCCGTATTTTTGTGTGGTGAGTAAGGACTCTCTCCAATGTGCTTAAGAAATGCACATTTCTTCCCATCTCTAACTTTTTTCCAATTCCAAAATTCTTTGATAGTAAACACATTAGATCTAGGTGGCCACTTGGTGCTTTGCCAAAAAGATAGCATGACAATATATAGCATCTTTTGTTATAGAGTATTCTAACCATGAATGAAAAATCGTAAACCATAAAGCTAAAAACCTACGAGGATGTTTTTCCGAACCGAGGAGAGGATAGCTTTTGAGACTCATTTGATCCGGTCACTTTATTAAATACCATCTTCTAATTTTGTCTCTTTAGTTAACTCGGGTATTCCCAAATTGATTTAATCCTAGATCACGTTCCAAATCATCAACATTAATTTCTTCTTGTTCTAAACTACAAGCATCAACTTCTTCATGTTCTTCCAAGCCACAATCGACTTCTTTATTTTCTAAGTCACAAGCATCAACTTCTTCATTTTTCAAACCATTAGCATCGACTTCTTCATGTTCTAAAGGATTAACATCAACTTGTTCATTCTCTACACCACTACAATCAAATTTTTTATATTCAAATCTTGGACACTTTGAAGGCTTCTCTGAAGAAAAATTTTAATCAGTCCACTTTCATGATTATAATGATGTCTTCTCTTAAAAAATGAATTAATTGTCTTTAACTTCCTCATAATGAATTGATAAATTCCTAAAACAATCAAATAAATTAACAATGCTAATTTTTATATTATGAAAAAATTTTAAATTTATGATAATAAACTCAATTTTTATCTTTAATATTATTATTATAACAATGCCTTATTTTCACTAATCAATTTAAATATCGGAGTATATCCATTTTAATTCTATAGATAAAAAATAATTCATTATAATTAACCTCTTATTAGAAGATAATAAGTTATCATACAAGTGATAAATAACATAATTTTAGTATTAATTAAAATCTTAAAATATGCACATTAAACTATAATAATTATATGCATCAAAATATAAGTCATTTGTATTTTGTCATGACCCATGACCAATAGAGAATAACATAAAAGAAAAAAAATACTAAAAATATAGTTTAATGATAATATGTTCTTATGATTGTCAATCATTAAATTTTAAATATAATTATATTTATTTATTTTTTATCCGCACATGTTTTATAGGATTGTTTTCTTAGAATTGATTCAAATATATAATATGTATTTAAAATTGTTAGAGTTAGAAAACCATTTTTTAAAATTTTCTAATTTTATTTTATTTTTAGTTTTTTTAAAGATATGTTCGGAAAGTGAAAGCTCTTTTTTAAGGAGAACCCAAAAAAAAGTTTAATGATAAATTTAATGAACTTTTTTATTTATTTATAGGTAAACGGGTGAAAAACAAATTTCTTTTGAAAAATGAAGAAAAAATATTTTTAACTTTTAAAAAAAAATAACAAAGAAAAAAATAATAGTAGAAAAAAATTAAGTGTAAACTAGTTGACAATTACAATTAACGAATTTAAATAAAATTTATGCAAAATCAAATATTTTGATATTTAAATTATATAAATTGATAATAAAAACCTAAGAATATCAAATTTCAAATGGAAACAATTTTTGCCGTAAAAGGCATCTTCTTCCATTAATTTATCTTTTTAAAACAAAGCTAATTTTGAATTTAAAGAAGTCCAACCCATCAAGAAAACCGATCTTTTGCTATGCAACTAAAATGGGCTTAGATTTCATTCAAGGCCAAGTCTATAAGGAGCCCATCTTATCACAATCTAATCGTTAATGATTGCCAACCATTGCTAAACTACCAAGGGATAACTGATCAACTGTCTTCAATGGCAGCGGCTTCAAGTTTACAACTTGTTCTTCCAATTATAGCCAAACAACAAGATTCAGGTAACTGTCTCTAACATCATGCAAGAGGTTCATCAAATGCAACGTTATACATATCCACTCGGAAATTTGTTTCACAGGAATACATGGACTCAATTCTGGCAGCCAGGAGATTCTTGGGTTCAATGCTTTTTTAAAAAACTCTTCTGCTAGACGTTGTATTAAAGTTAAGGTCAGACTATTCTTCTTGTTTAATTCATAAGTATTCTTCTTGTTTAATTCATAAGTGTCGCTTATGTTTTGATTTGAAGGTTCAATGATGGAATATTATTCATACTTGTTGGAAAATATGTTCATTTGTTGCATTAGAGTGGTGCATAGCATACTCTTATTACAGGCTTATCTGATTATTAATGTTTGATAATAGGCTGCACCAAGTAATCGAAACACGAAACAGAATAGTGTGATTTGTGCTGACTGTGATGGAAATGGTAAGCTAAGTAATATTAATTAGCCCATCTTAGAATTGTAGTAGAATAGAATATGTAGTTACTAATTTATACTTTGGTTTTGTTGTCCAATTCCCAGGTGCTGTTCTGTGCTCTCAGTGCAAAGGTAGTGGAGTGAACTCTGTTGATCTTTTCAATGGCCAATTTAAAGCCGGTGATTCGTGTTGGCTTTGCGGGTAAGTAACTACTTCATTTCTTATTTAATTAGTACTTGAATCACTTCTTAATTACCGAGTTATCTCGCAGAGGCAGAAAGGAAATACTGTGTGGGAATTGCAATGGAGCTGGCTTCGTTGGCGGTTTCCTGAGCACTTTCGATGAGTAGAAGCATCCGTGTGATACAATTTTATGGAGGTATTCATGTATATGCATTTAGTCATGTATTGAATTTGCTCAAATGGATTAAAAAAAAAAGTGCAGTATTGGCTCCCTGAATGTTTCTGTATAGGTTCAGAAGTATATGAAGATATATGTAGACATCATATTATTCCATATCGAGATCCATAGTTATAAATTTGCATGAGATCTTCTGATATCAAATTGCTGATGCGCTTGAATTAGCGTGTTTCTTTAAAGATTGCCTTCATTCGTACAGCACTAGACAGATCAGTTGATGATGGAAGGCAATGTGGTTTCTACCTTTCAGTGTGGGCGCAGGAAGTTCAGATTTTCTTATCTTGTGACATCAAACATTCTGAAGAAAGTCTAAAACCTATTTTGGATATATAATTGATTCGATTATTTACTGTAATCGCATTGCTCGAACCACATCTTGTTCGTATACATTTGATTGCAATATTCATAGTAATAGCAGTACTAGAGAATCTTTCATGCTAACACTTCTTGCATGGCTACCGAATCCAAAGAAGACTAGTATCTTGTCAGTTTCTATGATTTGCATACTGGCAGCAGGCATGTGTTAGCACTAAAAAAAAAAAATGTTCTGTTGGTCATTTAAAGGACATTAGTCAATCCAACCTTCTCAGGATTCACAAGAGCCAAATTCATGAATCATGAGCATGTTTCTTCTCTTTGGAGTTAAGATTGCAAGGCCTGAGAATTTTTTATTTAACTGTGATAGGTTGCTCATCGAAAAGGCATGAGTCAACTTAATCTTCTGATGTTTCTTGAAATTCCTGATGCACTATTTTAGGATCTATTTTGTTTTAAGATTGTCTTTGACAAAATCCAGTAGTACAAAATCAGAAAGATCAGTTATTTATAGCAGGAAATGGAGGTTTTTCCTTCATCGACTGTAGGAATGAAAAGTTCAACATCTTTTGTGTTGTGACTCATATTCCCATCAGCCCTTTTGAAGAAACTTCAATAAACCATTTTGGATATTCCCTGGCATACCAATCTTATCTAGCCTAGAATCGAACTCAATTTCGAGCCTTTGATTTGATGAGCCAGAAGCAATGCTAAAAAATGCCCTTCATTGAGATTTATTACTTCAATCATTATTTATAGTAGTATCAGTGCGAGAGAATCTTTAATACTAACATTTATTGCATGGTTACCAAATCCCAATAAGACATGGCATTTGTCGATTTCTATGATTTAGCAACCTGGAAGCAGGAATCTGTGGTCTCTATGACAGACACCTGCGGTGCTAATGGCTCTTCATGAACTCACTCATCTGTCGTTGGAGTGAACGGGTTGCCTCAGATTCAGGATACCTCACATGAAAGACATGTTGTTGTCCCTCAGCTTCAACCAGTGCCACTTCTTTCACCCCTTCCTTCGCCAAAAACTGTGCATAAATCACTCCTCTTTCCTTCAAGAAATCCAAGCCAGCCACATAAACCACCACCGCCGGAAACTCACTCCAGGCAGCTACAGAAACGTCTTGCATCTCAAAATTACAGCCAAAGTAATCACGGTTTGATCCTTCTGATATACTTAGACCCCAAAACATATCATTCATCGCAACGTCTCTTGCTGCCCCTTCAGCCATCTCTTTCTCGGTCCTTTTCTCACTCCCGAAACAAGGATGAATCAACATCAATCCTTTGATTTTAACCTGACAAGTTTTACTCCTCATTGCTGCGATAGCAACCTGGTGTGTAATGTTCCCTCCAGCACTGTCTCCGGAGAGAAACACTCGAGAAAGATCAGCCTGCTTAAGCCAAGGTTCAGAGCTAACGTTGTTACTTAGCCATTCAAGTGAGCTGAAACAGTCATCATAAGCTGTCGGAAGGCGATTCTCTGGTGCCAAACGGTAGTCAACAGAAAGGACAATGGACGAAGAGGCCACAGAAAGGTCTCCAAGGAAGTGATGGAATCCAAGCCATGTGGTCGAGCAAAAGCAAAAGCAACCACCATGAAAATAAACCACAACCGGAAGCCGACTCGCAGAACCCTGAATATCAGGAATGAATAACCTTGCAGTTATTGGCTTAGATGAGTCAATGACCACATCCTTGAACTTGAATCCATTGGAATATGATCCTGCCGAGGCAGGCACTATTTCTGGGGCAAACCGCTTTACTGACCCATCAGAAAAGACTTGCAGGTAGCCAGGTATTTCTGCTACAATGGACATTTTTGTTACAGGTGATAAAGATCCTGATGTTTCACACAAACTTGAATGGAGAATTACTGTTGGGATATAAAGGATCATATGGCTATGCTGATAAGTAATGGTAATGTGCAAAGTCAGAGTCAGAAGGAATAGGTTGGCCATTTGGAGCGGCAATAATTAATTAGAAAACCAATTTTGTATAAGCTGATATCATGATGTTGAAACTATGCTTCAAAAATTCATTAAATATGCTTCTTTCAGGTTAGGTTACAAGACTTGAGGATTTTTTACTCATGCTATTATAAAAAAAGATGCATTTTTATGAAATTAAAACTGGGTTTAGGATTATGTTGCAAGAGTTAATTAAGATTGCTTTTATAAATAAAACAGGAAAAGGAGGTACATCCATTAAGAAACAGTCAGTGTTAGGTTGGTCGTCTATATCATTTAACGTGTTGGCTCACACGGCAAATGGGTTTGCTTCCCACATTCATCTTGATTTTGAATCCAAGAGGATGATGTCAGAAAAAGATTTCTCATCAGTGCATGAACCCAGATGAATATGGTTTGTCTACACTCAATCAAGGAGAGGGACTTAGTTTTAATATGCAAAAGCAGACTAGAAGCTGCCATGATTGTTTGCACCAAAAAATGTTAGTTCGGTCATCTTAAAGGACATAGTCAAACCAACCTTCTCAGGTTTCTTTTCTTTGAGGTTAAGATTGCAAGAACATATAATTTTTTTTTATTAACTGTTCAAAAATAAAATGTTAGGTTGCTCATCTAAAGGGCATTAGCCAACTTAATCTTCTGATGTTTCTTGATGAAATTGCTATGCATTCGATTGTTCTGTTTTGTTTGAAGATTGTGCTTGAATAAAAGCCAGTAGTACAAAATCAGAACATTCAATTATTAATATAGTTTTAAATTACAGACGATTGAAAAAATGATCGTCATCGTCATCGTGAATCATGACTTACTGTAGACTAAAATAATGGTAATGATATGCTCCGAAACCGTTACATAATGACTGTTATATAAAGTAACGACCGTTATTCAAAACTATTAATACCGTTGACTCTTATAACCATTAGCCCTTTTGAAGAAACTATTTTTGAATATGCACTCGATTGAGATTATTTATTATAATATCTGTGCTACAGAATCCTTAATACCAATATTTCTTGTATGGTTACCAAATCGAAACAAGAGTTAGTATTTTGTCAATTGCTATGATTTAGCAAAATGGAAGCAGGAGTATGTGATCTCTATGACAGATACCAGAGATGCTAATGGCTCTTCATGAACTCACTCATCTGCTGTTGAAGGACGAGAGTTGCTTCAGATTTGGGATAGAAGACATGAAAGATATGTTGTTGCCCCTCTGTTTCAACCAATGCCACTTCTTTAACGCCTTTCTTCGCTAAAAACTTTGCATACATTACTCCCCTTTCATTCAAGAAATCCAAGCCAGCCACATAAACCGTCACTGCCGGAAAAGCACTCCATTCAGCTGCAGACACATCTTGCATCTCGAAATTACATCCAAAGTAATCTCGGTTTGATCCTTCTGGTATACTTAGACCCCAAAACATGTCATTCATAGCCACATCTCCTGCTGCCCCTTCAGCCATCTCCTTCTCAGTCCTTCTCTCACTCCCAAAATAAGGATGTATCAGCATCAGTCCTTTGATTTCAACCTGACAAGTTTCACTCCTCAATGCTTTGATAGCAACCTGGTGAGTTATATTTCCTCCGGCACTGTCTCCGGAGAGAAACACTCGAGAAAGATCGGCTTGCTTAAGACAAGGCTCAGAACTCACATTGTTAGTTAGCCATTCAAGTGAGCTGAAACAATCATCGTAAGCAATGGGAAGGCGGTTCTCCGGTGCCAAACGATAGTCAACAGAAAGGACAATGGACTGGGATGCAACAGAGAAGTCTCCAAGAAAGTGATGGAACCCAAGCCACGTGGTTGAGCTAATGCAAAAGCCACCACCATGAAAATAAATCACAACCGGAAGCCTACTCGCAGACCCTTCAGTATCAGGAACGAACAACCTTGCGGTTACCGGCTTCGATGAGTCAATGATCACATCCTTGAACTTGAATCCATTGGAATACGATTCCGCTGAGTCGGAGACTGTTTCTGAGGCAAACCTTTTTACAGAACTATCAGAAAAGACTTGCAGGTAGCCAGGTGCTTCTGCAACAATGGACATTTTGATTGATAATATAGAAGCTGATTAAGGCCTTGAAGTTTCACAGAAAGCAACGGAGATTTACCGTGCATGAATATAAAGGATCATATGGTTATGCGGAGAAGGAAAGGTAATGTTCAGGTCAGAGTCAGAAGAGGAATAGGTTGGTCATTTAGAAGGCATTGGTCAATTAAAAAAATCAAGGTTATTTAAGCTGCATTAGTATCAAGATGTTGAAAATCTGCTTTGGGAATTTTTATTCAAGAAAGAAGAAAAGGGGTGGATTGATCAAATAAAAATGGAGTATCTGTTAGGTGATCATGCAAAAAGGACAAATTCAAGAACATGCTTCTTTTCTATGAGATTAGAAGGTTATTTTCGCTAGCGTTTGAAAAAGTTATTAAATCGCGCCAGATAGGGGTCGAACCTATGACCTTCTGCTTAGGAAACAGACGCTCTATCCACTGAGCTACAGGCGCTTGTTATTCACACTTTCTCGACAACATATTATATACTATTCAACAATGTCTTGGCAGCTTCGAACCCACCGTTTATCGAAGGTTCAACAAATGCAATCGCAGATGCCAACAACAAAATTCATAATGTTCTTCAAAGAAACAGCCGTCCTGTCCGAAATATAAAACTAAATTGAGTGAAGCTACATTTCGGCATGGACATGTTCTGCGGCAACAAGTACATAAAAATTATGAGAAATTATTTCGCTACCAACAGCATAACGGTCACCACTCACAACCAAATCTATATTCCACCAAAAAGAAACTAATGAGGCATTCTTCCAATATTTGAGAATTTACAAAAAATAAAATAGAGAGCTACGATTCAAGCACACGAAGCGCCGTATAATATAAGAGAAGAAAAATCAACAAGTTAGCAATTCTGATTTTCTAGAAAACAGAATGAAGTCTATTTGGCCGTTTGTTCCAGTACAGTAACTTTCTTCCAATCCTCCTCCTGCGTGTTGCTTTGCAAAGGGGGCAATGAATATACGTTTACAGTTGAGCTGCCGCTCCGAACCTCCTTCAAGACGCGAAGTGCCGACAGGGTTAGTTTCACGTACAAGCTCTCCATATATTCTATTTCCGGGAGTTCGTCAGGAACTCTGAGTGACCTCCCGGCACTTTCAGTTGAAGTTTTGATGTCACAACTCCCTACCTCGGTAGCTTGAGGGGAGACTGATGGTTGATTTCTAGCGAAAACACGATCAAGCATCACCTCACACTCCTTAATAAGCTTGGTAAGTACATGAGTAGAGTAGAATGGCTGTTGCATAACCATTTGGATGAAGGGCATGCGAACCAGAGCTCCACTTCTCTTATCATATTTCTTCAATATCTTTACCAGTCCTGCACACAGAGTACAAAGATTCATAAGCATAATTTCAAGATGGGAAAAACCTCCATTTCAAGTGATTCGATAACTTAGGCCCAGTTTGTGATATGTAGCTGCCTCAGTGGCAAGTTCCTTTCTCCCCTTTTGTTTCCTCCCATTAACAAGTTATCCACCCAATATTATAAACTTAGCACTATAAGCTTGGGCTAAGTTGGATCACAATTTTGCCATCAGAAGTTTGCATCAACCTAATCAATTCCCATCTAGTGGCACTCCTTGGCTCATGTCAACTCAACAAAATGGTTGCAACTATCATGATATGCATTCTTATTAGCCATAGGCAGTCATTTTGTAAGCCATTTATCACATAGCATTAACAATGTCACCAAAAGGCTAGTTGCTTACAAGGTTATGAATCAAATTGAATAGACCATCCATCATGTTTAATCCACAAAGATCATAGGATTTCACCAACCAAAGAAAAAGGAGGGAAGTACCTGTGTAGTTAAGGGCACTGTAATTCTCCAACAACACCATCTCTCCATGAAAATCCACTATTTCCCTCCCCACTTTCATCAGCTCTTCATTTGAATCCTTCGACCTCTCTACTCTATCTTGTAGCTCCTGCATTACAACACCAATCAAAAGAAAAAAAAAAATCAATTAGAATAATATCAACTCCAACCACATTTTCCCAAATCTAATCACTTGTAAAGAAAAAAAGGATTTCTAGCTTATAAATTGTACTCTCTTCTTCATGTTCTCGTCAACCAATCATTTGCAATTCCACTTTAACCGTAAAACACAAAATTCCTCATCTTCTAAAATACAATTCAAATCCGAAAAAATTTATTCGATACAAATGAGCCCAGCAGCCGGATTCCCTCCATCTCTCATTCATGTGGGATCCACTGAGAGCATAATCCAGCCTCGTTAAATAAATTTGCTTTTTTTTTTTTTTTTTTTGCAAATAATCACTAGCAATTCCATAAAAATAAAATAAAATACCAATTCTGATTTCTACCCCAAAATTCAATAACTAAAGAATCCAACACATTATTCGAACAGAAAATAAATAAAAATTTAACATCTAATATCAATTAAAATCAAGATCAATACCAAGACACAAACAAATAAATAGCCATGTACCAATATATATATATAATTTAATTTAATTAAAAAATTTTGAAAAAAAAATTATACCTTCCACTTGATAACAGAATCCTCTTCTTTCTCGACAATAAACGCATTAAACTTCTCCATCTCATCTTCCAAAACCCTAACAAAATCGATCACCTCCTTCTCCACCTCACCACTGTCCATTTGATCATCATCCAATCTGGGCCGTTTATTAAGCGGCTTATCGCCATCTTTAGGATAAATTGACTTCAATTGTTTCTTCAAATCTTTATAAGATAAAAACTTATCTCTCCAATCAGGTAAGGTCTCCTCTATTAAATTACTCAAGCTCTTCCAGAACTTCATTATGCTCTTCACCGCAACTGATCAGCGCCGCCGGAGAAGACAAAATCGTGAAACTATTATTGATTGCTGGTGAGATTAGTGATTAATGACGGTAGTTGTGATTTGATTTGTTGATTATGAGAGATAATGAAGAGAGAGAGAGAGAGATTAGAGGAGTCTGTTTCTGGGTGAGAGAGAGAAAAGGTCGGAGATGAACAAGATGATGAAGAGTAGAATATTTGTAAGATTTCGAATATCCTCTTTGTATTTTTCTCCTCAGAGATTAAGAGGATGCAATATTTTGGGATGACTACAGATTGGTCCCTAAACAGTAAATTAATTTTATAATGTCCTCACAGTTCGAAATTAAACAATTTTAGATATTTTAAATTTATTTTAAAATAAGAAAACCATTTATTCCCCAATGAAGAGGAAAAAAATAAGAAAATTTATTTATGTAACACGAGGTGGTAGCAAATAAATTCGTATACATCAAATGATTTTTTTGTTTTATTTTAAATTTATTTTTATCAAATCACACACAAGATTTTAAATCATCTAATTCATTTTCGTGGACAATTCAAAACTTGCTTTTAGGGAATTATTTATTATCTTATCAAGAACAACCTAGATGATATAATTACATTTTCAATTATAAAATTGCTAATATTCTTTATGTAAGTAGTATTGGTATGTCATAAAGATATATATATATATATATATATATATATATATATATATATAACTTCCTGTATTTTGTTAATTTCTTGCGACGGGTACAAATGCTTTGAGTAATGTGTGATCATTTTGGATAAAATTGATTAACTTCAAACTTTGGACTCTTAAATGAGTTGTTTTTAATGGTAAGGGGATCTGTTTGTAGTTATCCCTCATCCTTTTTTGTGTTTAATATTCTTTCGTGTGGGGCTATCACGCCTGTCAAGGCTTCGGTGGGTGCTTCGGCGCCTTTCTTTTCTTCACTTTTAACTTTTTGTCATTTACTTTGACGCCAAAGTACTTTTTTTGAAGTCAACTATTTATGCTAATGATTTTTTTTTTTTAACATCATAACCGACGATGATATGCATTGAATTAGTTGTATTAATTTCTCGGGAACGCATTGTTTCACAATTGTATCGAAATTCAATAGATTTATCGTCATATCTTATGTATGTTCTTCGAGCAGTTTTAAATATAAAATTCCTTTCATTTTATTGTAAATATAAAATTCCTTTCATTTTATTGTAATTTGATAATTTTAAATTTTTATTATTAATTTTTATGATTTAAATTATAAAATATTAGATTTTGATCTAATTTTATCCCATACGTATTTTTCCTTTTATTTGTAATGATAATTTAATTAACTGTTAATTAAGAGGTAAACATAGGTACAAAACTCAATAAATTTTATAATACACAAGAATTAAATAATAACATATATAATAATTACTCCATAACCTATTTTAAAGAGACAAATAGACACATTGAATTATATTTGAATCCATCAAAAGATATAAAAAAATTCACATTTATTCAATTTTTTTAATTTTCTTTCTCATTTTTTTATGTCTATATCTCTTCTCGTAGTGGATTTATGAAGTAATTATTATACATATTACTAGTTAAAAATGCATTTCTTTCATTTTGCAAGAAAGATTTTTCCTATTTAAAACTTTTATATATTAATTCTTTTCATTTTTAATATTCTAAAATAAATGAGGTACCAAAGTGCAATAATTTTGATAAAGGTTGTCGCAAACAGTCAAAACAAATATAATAAGAGAGATGGACGGTCAGGATCAGCAAGAGGCAAGAGGCAAGAGGCAAGAAATACTAAACTCCCTTTTTTTTAGTTTGTTTTATTATTAATACCTGTGCATAGAATCACATTTTTTATACGTATTGATTTCAAAACGCACCTCAAAATTTAATAATGTTCTCGACGTAAATCTAAGCTCAAATTTAAGATCCTCACTGCAACTTTGAACATATTTATTAGGTGGAGGTTTCCTGCAGAATTTTGAAAAGAAAAAAAAAATATATATATATATATATATCGTCTCGTCAATTCTCATGTGGTTATGTAACTTGCTCTTTAGTAACGAATCATAATTTATGATTTTGATGATGCAACAAAATCTTCTAAAGTTACTAGGAATATCTATCACTTTGGCATCTCTTAAAAAACAATTAGCTAGAGTTGAATTTTGGAAGCTTGATCGTGACTTAGACTTGGTCCGGTTAAAGTATCTAAGACAAATATCATGTGCATTATGTAAATTAACCTAGCCATTTATTTATAGATTTAATTAGATTTTTTGCTCGCATTACGCTACGGGTTAGATAAAATATATAAAATTATTTTAGTTTGATAGTTTGTTTTATAATATGAATGTATAAAAATATATGAAATCAAAGGTGAAAAAATATTTTAAATATTTTAATGTAATTTTAAATAAAATGGATGAGAATTTTAAAAAATAAAAAATAAAAAATTTTAAATAATAAAAATAATCAATAAAAAAATATTAAAGCAAAATGAGACAAAATCACAATACAATTAAGTTTTAAAATTAAAAAAAAAATTGTATAAAAAAATTGAGGGCCGTATAAATTTAAATTAATTGGATGAGAATTTAATAGAAGAATGACAAATTAAAGTAGAAAATTTGAAATAATAAAAATAATTATAAAATAAAATAAAATAAAATGCAACAAAATTACAATACAATTAAAGTTTTAAGTTGAAAAACAAAGGTATAAGATACTCGTGCTATGCTTGTGATGTGTGTGTGTGTGTGTGTAAAAATAAAAAATAAAACTTGTGAATTTTTTTAATCGATTATTAATTTTTTTAAAAAAATAAGTCAAACTATCTAAAACATGCTTTTATCTCTCTCTCTCTCTCTCTTAGAATTTATAAATTACAATAATATAGTTTAAAAAAGAAAAAATGCATTTAAAAAACAAAAGAAGAATTTATTGTATAAATTATAATAATATATTTTTAAAAAATAAAAGATCGATGTTCTAAATTTTCATTCTAAAATTCATATATCAAAAAACTAAATTTATTAACAAATAAAATTACATGAAAAATAAATAGGATGAGAATTTCAATAAGAAACAAATAATTTAAAAAATAAATTTTAAATAATAAAAGTAATATAATTAGATATATATGTTTAAACTAAAATCTAAAAAAAAATTCTTATATATTCTATCATCTAAAAATTATAATGATTTATTTTTTATGTTTTTCACACCTAATTCCATAATATATAAAGAAAAAAAGTATGTTATAATTGTTATATATTCTTTTTTTTTTTGGTTTATATATTTCGTTTTTTTCTTTATATACATAATATATATAATTGTTATATATTATATAACATACTTTTTTTCTTTATATATTATCTATAAATATATATATTGATATATTTATATACGTTTTCGTGTAAATATATATATTGTTATACATTGTTATATATTATATAATATATGTTTAGGAAGAAAAAAAAGTGGGGCAGGCTGGTTGTTCTTTTGAAATAGCTGTATGGCATAGGAAAAAAAGAAAAAAGTCAGCGCTGGCCTGGCGTAAATATATGAAAATTTAGCTGGCTGGCGCAAATGTATGTATATATATACAGATTTTCGAGGAAAAAAGAAAAGAAAAAAATAAAACCTGTAACTTTCCGCAAACTCAAGGTCGTCGAAGTTTATCGAAAAATCGAAGTTTAACTTTCAGATCTTTAGAGATTGAATTTCGACATCATTTTTTTCCCAAACACCGCTAAATGATCGAAATAAAGCCAATAAATACATCTAACATCTTAAAAATCATTTTAATACACACAAAAATAAAGAAAAATACAAAATCTGTGTATGTGAATTGAAACATGCTTTCGTCGGATAAATTCATCTCTCAAAAATACATAAATCCAGTGGATTTTCGTCGGCTTGTGTGGTCCAAATAAGATTGGTTGGCGATCTCTCTCTCCTCCCGTCTCTCTTCCTCTCAGCTTTCTCTCTCTACCCAGGGACTAAAATTGATGAGCAAATGAATATGTGAATTGAAACATACTTTCAAAAACATCAAGGACTAAAGTATTAAAAAAATCATGAATAGTGAAATGCATAGTAAAATTAGAGAGCATATACAGTGTTTTAAATAATAATGCTACAATAACAAAACGTTTTCCTTTAGTTTTTTAGTAAATTATGGCCGACCTTGTCTAAGATTGTATAATTTAATAATTTTTAAAATACTTAATTCAAAATTTGAATTAAAAAAATATATCAAATATTTTTAATCACTAAACCACCTTATTAAAATGACACTATATAATAACTAGCATAAGTTACAATTAAGTCGAATAGGGAAAAGACACAAGGCATCTCTTTGTTTTTTTAAGGTCAACAATAAAAATGTCTTTGAATTAGTTTTAATGTATCTTGAGACTAATTATTTCTTGAACATAATTAAAGAGTCTTTTCCAACACATAATTAAAATATTTTGAAAGTAAATTATCAAAAATACTGGTCATAAGAATCGAATCCTCGAACCAATTTATAAATCAACACTTATTTATCAATATACTATCGCTTTTAATTTATCTCTCTATTATAAACAGCTGTCAATGCAATAGCAAGCCAACGATGTGAAGCAAATGGAATATGACATATTTTTGTCCGTGGACCCGATTTCGTGATATTTAAAACAAGGGAACATAGAGATTGTTTAAAGTAGATGATAGATAATCAAATTCTAATTGAAGTTTGAGGCATTGGTTGTTGTCTAAGCTAAGTCAGTTTTTGTGAGCAAGAGGGAAAATGCCGTGATCCTGTATAAAAATCATGATACTATTATTTAAAAATTTTAAGAATTTATCATATAAATTATATAAATTTATTTAAAAAAAGAATCATATTCTATAATTTGATTTCAAAATTCATGTATAGAGAAAAATAAATAACATTTGACTTTATAAAAAAATTAATTGGATGAGAATTTTCA